GGGGGGGTCAACTCATGGAATAAATAAATACACATATTTCCAGAGAGATAATTTCAGTTGGATCTGTTGCTGTTTGGGGTGATGTGACTGTGTGTCAGACATGAAGGACAATGGCTATTAAGTCTTGGGAAGCTGAACAACCAATGGTGTGACTGGAGGTGAAAAATTTGCACCACTCAACATTTTACCCCTGTTTTACTCGATTAAGTCGCTATATTCTGCATATTTTGTATTATTATTTTTGCAGTGCATGGCTCCTGACTGTGACTGGTTGTATGCCTCAGTGTGGCTCTGCCTCCCTCACTCGCTCGCTCCCTCTGCTCGCTCGTTCTGTCGGGTGATGCGGACGAGCTCTTATTCCTCCACTTTCCTCCTGTGTGCTCCGTGGATCGTTGCTGCAGCTGACCCTGGAATTATCTGGCATTTGTCAATTTGAACAGGATGAAAACCAGGTTTCACTTCTTATCTGGTCCCTGTGCTTTCTTTCTGTGTCTTCTGTCAGGTGAGTAAGCGGCTGGTAGCATGAAATCTACATACTTGTTGCTTTAGGGAAATGTAAAAAAAAAAAAAAAGCAATAGATCTAATTATTTTTGAAGGCTACGTCTAAATTTAATGCAGTGCATCAAGGAATCATGCATGTGTACAAATCCTTAATCTTATATAATCAGGATAACAGTAATATGTTGCTGTAGTTGCTGTTCTCTGTAAGAGACATACTGTGTTAAGAATGATGCCAAATGAAATCTCATCACTCAAGTTAGAAAGAAAAGAACTTGAAAGTAAAAAATGACAAAAAAGGTTGTGAAACTGTCAAATTTAGAGTTCTACTTTGGGTGGTAAATGGTAAAGCAGAAAAAAAATAGATCACAGTTAAACTGTATAATCATTTAAATATGCAGTGAGATTCCCATGTCTGACATTGTGCTCCTGTCCAGGAGGCACATGTTCAGAGGCAGAGCATAAGCTCTTCTCTGGGATATTTTCCAACTACAACCAGTATATACGGCCAGTGGAAAATGTGTCTGATCCAGTCATTGTGCAGTTTGAGGTGTCCATGTCACAGCTGGTCAAAGTGGTAAGTAGCAAGCAAATGTTTTTCCTCAGTGTCGGAGCTGCTGCCCGGAGTGTTTGTGATTTATGGGGCAGCTATTTCACCTCTATAAAACAAATATCACTCTGCTTAATAAACATGACCTTAGATTAGAGTAGAAATTGTAGAAGATCTGTGTGTATACAAGGCTTAAAACTTGCGTTTTTGCATCTCAAAGATATAGTTTGCGTGCTGCTTTGCAGACTTTTATTGAAACAAAATTTAGGGCAAGGTGGTAATTTAGACACCATATCATAAGCTTGAGATACCCTCTCACGTTACACAGTAGCCCCTGGGACCTAGATGAAAGGGCTGACAATTGGGCTGTTTTTCTGGCCAAGACAAGATGGGAAATGTCAGCTGTCTGAGTACCTCTCAGGCACCCCCTATCACTCAGTCACTGCCACTTCAGATGGGCACTCCTAGATTTCTCTGCTAGAGTTTGTTGACTGCAGACTGCCGTTCCAGACAGACGACTATGTCCCTTGACGCAGACAGGTCGAGCGCAGGTGGTGATAATAAGCATCACAAAGAACTGTTTGGCAAGCAATACAGCTTCTTTCACACAATAAATTGTTTGGAAATACAGAATGTACTATTTATTTGCTTTTTTAAGGAATATTTTTTTTAGTGTTTGCCTCTTTTTTCTTTTATTGTTACCCTTATTGCACACATTGCTCTCTTTTAACCCTTTATGTCAAACAATACTTTGGTGTTATAATGGTCTAACAGAAAGAAAATGCCGGTCAAAAATAGGTAACATTATTTCACTGTGTATAAACTAGTAACCATGATGTGACACCTTATGCATCTTCTTTTGCCTCTGTGCAAACAAGGTGTTTTTATTTTTTTCAAAGGATCTAAATAAATATTAAAGATCTGTCTGACCAGACAATGATGATATGGAGAGAGAGATATTTTGTTACATGATCCTTAACTCATTTAAAGTAGCGAGCCAAGCTAGAGTGCTGATGGATAACTGTTATTCCCTCTGCACACCTGGTGCTCCAAACTCAGAAGCATTTGGTTCACCTTCAACAACTCAAACATGGCTATATGAGCTAATTTAGAGCATCAATACCTTATGGGCTGGGCAACCTAACATTATCTCACAATCAGGGATCGTACCACATGATCACTAGGTAGTGGCTCTGTGTATTTTGGTCTCAGAGGCTGTTCTGCTAAAGATAGTAGATGTAGTATATGATCTACAGCCAACATTCAGTTCTGCATCCTTGTTAAAACAAAATCTGCAAATATTAATTTAATCGTCTGATTTTGATTACAAAAAATTATTTTGTGTCTTTTAGGATTTTGAGTGATTTAATTATGAACCACAGAGTGTGTGTCTTATCTATCCAGGTGACATGAAATAACTGTTCTCCCAAAGGTATTCAGAAGAGGTTAAACTAAAGCCTTCTGTCAACCATTGAATCTAAGAGCTATTCTGGATACAAGATGGTCACATGAATGGTTAATGTTTGCGCTCAGTCATGAGATTGGTTCATTCACGGTCTAAGTCACACAGAAATCTGACCCTCAGTTGTTTTGTCTCCCATCTTTAGTCCCTCTGCTCCAGCTGTATCACTGAATTGCTAGTAAAAAAATAAAAGTTAAAGGCTGCGACCTACAAGCCCCAGCTGTCATGTGTATTATGCTCCAGGCATGCTGGACTCAGGTGCAGATCTCTGAAACCTTTTGCGCTGATGCTACAGAAGCACAGACAAAAATCTCAGCAGTGAATTGGATGATTGCCTGTGACAGTTATTATTACTGTTTTAACTTTATTAATAACATGTACTTAGTTTTCTTTGCTTCAGTGTCCTCATTATCTATTATCTTCTACCCTCTTCTCAGGATGAAGTCAATCAGATCATGGAGACCAATCTGTGGCTGAGACATGTAAGTTTATTGTTGAAGACTGTGCAAACAGACCTTGAGCAAGGGCATCAAGTCTAGATCCAACCTTCTGTCATGCGTGATTCTTTGGAGCTAGACTGACAGGTTGAATTATTCATAGGAGGAAGCTTTTTAAACACATTGATCCGTGTGGTCATATTTTCTTTCAAAAAAATCAAATAAACTGAATGCACTTACATTTCATAACCAATTTGCATTTAAAAAAATAATTTGACAGTAGTTAAGAAATTTAGAATATCCGAATATGGAATATTCATCCATTATGGGCTCGTACAGTTAAAGTGAATCTGGAAGTGAAAGTTCAGTGATTATCCGCTTTTTTTTTCTTCTTTTTTTTTCGCAATGCCGCATAGTGCAATAAACCAGTAATGAGTCAGATGAGGTAGGGCGGGTCTCCTGTTCCAATTTTACATGTACTGAGCAAGCACACATCTGTGACAGAGTCAGTCTTCTACTAAATGTTGAGCTTTAATTGTTCTTTGGAGTTCAGGGCTGGAGCATTGCTTCTCTTATGTTAATGTCGTCTGTTGTTTTTAGCATGTCTCTGGGAAATACTCATCAGGGGCGAGACACATTTCTCCTGCTCTCCATCCCATCTTGCAATACACTCTGGATGCATACTGTTTTGTAATTAAGTCAAATTTTTTACAGCTCTCTGGGGTTGCTTTGATGTACTGGCTTCATGAGCCTCATGAGGATCACTGGCTGTCCTGATGAACAGTGTTCAAAAGATCCATAAAACACACTATAAAGTGTGATTCAAGTCACACGTGTACTATATATCCTCTGTTTATGTGCTACCTTTGGAGATAATGACATTATTTCTTTATTTTATGTGGAGCATTTTACAAGCAAATGCATATAAAAACTGACAAGAGATAATTACCAGGAGGAAGCATTTTCGGACTCATTATATTAACTTTTTTTTAACTTTTCAGCACGCACCTCCATGGCTAACAGTGGGGTTTTTCACTATAGTTTATCACAAAGATAGGCTATAATACTTGTTATGATACATGCTGGCTTACTGACATTTCCATTCATGTCAAAATCCTACTGTGACACGACTATAGACTATTTCTTTTGATATACCGCCAACTGCTGCTTTGTATTAGTTGTTTCTTTAACATACCGATGTTTTTGTAATTAATATGCTCTAGCAATTAAATATGTTTAAAAACATTTTGAATGAACAGTGTGTACGGTAATTATTGAACTGTCATATTCTGTTTCAAGCTTTAATCTAACCAAACCAATCTCCAGAAAACTGATTTAAAACCACTTTACACATGCATCAAATTGACTCTGAAACTCATACCTGTTAATTCTCGGACTTTTTTTTATGAAAAAGAAATTTTTCTGCTTTGTTTCTCAGATCTGGAATGACTATAAACTTAAATGGAACCCAAAAGATTTCGGAGGCGTTGAGTTTATCCGAGTGCCGTCCAACAGGATTTGGAAGCCAGACATTGTGCTGTACAACAAGTGAGCATAATAACAAAAACCTGGCACAGAGTCTTCATTGATTGTTTATTGCTGCAAAGGATGTCTGTACAGTAACAAAATGTTATCGATCTACATTGTTCATTCAGCATGGGTCATTTCTTCTTTTGAAGATTCTTAGGGAAGCTATACATAACATCACATGGTGCATTTACTGAAACCCCAGGGCATCTTTTTAATTGATATTTTCATAACTCAATAGTTGCTTATATCTATCTGGTTAGTATTCAGTGGCTCAGTTGTCTTTTACTGTCCTTCCTTTCAATGTTCCATTCTCCCTCTTCTTTTGTCTTTTTCTACAGCGCAGTTGGAGATTTCCAGGTTGATGACAAAACAAAGGCCCTGCTTCGCTACAATGGCGATGTCACCTGGATCCCTCCAGCTATCTTCAAGAGCTCCTGCAAGATTGATGTCACATATTTCCCATTTGATTACCAAAACTGCACAATGAAATTTGGTTCATGGACTTATGACAAAGCCAAGATCGACTTGGTGCTGATTGGCTCAACTATTAACCTCAAGGACTTCTGGGAGACAGGCGAGTGGATGATCATTGATGCACCTGGTTACAAACATGATATTAAGTACAACTGCTGCGAGGAGATCTACACTGATATCACATACTCTTTGTACATCCGTCGTCTCCCTCTTTTCTATACAATCAATATGATCATCCCATGCCTCCTCATCTCCTTCCTCACAGTGCTCGTCTTCTACTTGCCCTCTGACTGTGGTGAGAAAGTAACACTGTGCATCTCTGTCCTGCTGTCTTTGACCGTCTTCCTCCTCGTCATCACAGAGACCATCCCTTCCACCTCGCTAGTGATACCCTTGATTGGCGAGTACCTCCTCTTCACCATGATTTTTGTCACTCTCTCTATTGTCATTACTGTTTTTGTGTTGAACGTCCACTACCGCACCCCGAAGACACATACAATGCCCTGCTGGGTAAAGCGTGTGTTTCTTGAACTGCTGCCCAGGGTGATGTTCATGACCAGGCCAGAGAGAGATCCTGAGAAGGTGACTGTGGCTGGCAGTGTTCAGACGATGCATTCGAAATCCTGTGCCATTCATTCATTAGGTACTCTACAAAAGCAGCACAAACCTCAGGCCCTTGCCAACAGCGTGGTGTCAAGTTTAACAAACCGGCAAAGACTTTTTAATAACACAGAGCTTTCCAATCTCAATAACTTGGGTGGAGATTCAATCAAATGTCCTAGCTCTGGGTTCTTGTGCTGTGAGGGCCGCTGCAACTGCTGCTGGCAGAAGAGAACCGGCAAGTTGCCTGCAGATTCTGGAGGAGGGAGTGGAGGACTGAGCAGCCTAGGAGCATTGAGTGGAGGCAGTGCTGTGGGTGTTGGAGTGGGGAGTCAATGCTCCAGCTCAGAGTCTTTGGATGGAGGAATAATGCCTCTTCTGTCTCTTTCTCCTGAGGTCAGGGAAGCTATTGAGAGTGTCAAATACATAGCAGAAAATATGAGACTACAGAATGAAGCAAAGGAGGTGAGTACTCAAAAAAGCAAGGCTAAAGCCATTTAATGTCATACAGCTTTCAAATAAAGAATTACAATATTGCTGTAACACTGAACATGTTTTTTGTCTTGATCCTCTCATAGGTTCAAGATGACTGGAAATACGTTGCCATGGTTATCGACAGGATCTTCCTATGGGTTTTTGTTCTCGTGTGCATCCTAGGAACAGCTGGCCTTTTCCTCCAGCCTCTATTACTTGGGGAAGATATTTGATTC